GGACTGAGTCAAAATAAACTACAGTGTGTGTGTTCATGGTAATGAAGGAACATGTCACCCAATGCAACAGTATTTTTGGAGTGATGGAGCTCTGTGGCACAGAGGAAGGACATATTAATCTACACAGACAGTACTAGATAAAAAGATCTGTTCATTGCTGGTTTTGATCTTTTTATGGGATTTGTTGACAATAAGAAAAATATAAAATATATAACTTATCCTTAAACCTCCTCTGTGATTCTGTAATGGGCCATGGCACAACTCTATTCTATTCTGATGTTGCTGGATCTCATCAAACAGCGACAGCTGCTTGGCCAGAATAAATCAGCACCTAAAATCAGCAGAGGTAATTAGACACTGGATACACACACACACACACACACACACACACTTTGTACACAAGTGACAAACTCACACTCTCAGCTGCATGCTCACCAAAGCATGTGCACATGCACACACACCAAGATCATACACCCACAGAAAGCATGATGAGTTAAGACAAATCATCATGTAATCAAGAACGTGAATGTAATTGGCAATGTATGGAATATTAATAGTGATATATATTTTTCTTAAATCGATAGTTTTTTCTTCATTGATTTCACAATCTGAATCTCCGATTTATTATAGATTTTAACTGAAGTTAAGCTCTTCTTCACTCCTCAAACTACTGTAGCATCTCTTAACTTTTAATCAGCCACAAAGTGATGGTGCATTAGTGTTTTGTGTGAGCTCAAAAGTCAGCGGGGTGTTTCTCAAAAACACTACCCTATATACTTCACTACTTTGGGCCATAAAGTAGCGCACTACAAGTATAAGAGTACAGTATTGAGACATGCCCCCTTTGAGATGCAGAGGAGTGAGATGACGGGCGTGGGCAGCTTAACTCCGGGGAAGGAGGCCCTTCTTGTAGGCCATGAGGCTGGCTGCGGTGGCAACAGACAGAAAGGCGGAGACTCCCATGAACTTGAGGAAACCACCAACTGAAGGCATATTCCTCTCCCAGAAGGTGGTGACAAAGGGGAGTGCTGGGACCTCCTGTCGGACAGACAGATGGAGGAGAGGGGTAAGTTTAAGTTACATCTGTTTAACTTTTTAGTTTATTACATATTTAGAAAACATTTCCCTTACCACACACTCAGGCTCCGTCTGCCAGATCTGACTCTGGTGGATTTTACCTAATGCACACATGACCTGCAACAGAACACATTGGTTGCTCAGTCATATTAAGATTTAAACCATTTATTTCAACATCAAGGACTTTTTGCATTAAGGGTTTTGCAGACTGTCCCTTAACTCAGATGTTCCCTAATTTTTTACTTAAGGGAGCCCTTTTCTATCACTGTGTAAACTGACTAAGTGACATATTTTATGGATATTTAATATTATATTCAATGCATAACAATAACAGTAGAGAACAACTGATACGATGTACAATGAACCAGAATAGTGAACACTATAACTGTAGGAAGTTTGTGTAAAATGAGTGATATGGATGAATTTTGAGCAGATAATATTATTTCAACAACCATTCATACTTAAAGCAGCAGGTTGGTTGTTTTCGTTCAGACCCAGTGGATTCTTACAAATGCCATTAGGAGCACTTGGAGGAGCCAGAGGAACCTGATATTTTCAAATTATCTGTCTCATGTACTACTG